CGCTTCTGACACCGTTACTCCACCTCTCACGAAATCCCGAATCCGAAACGGGCTGGCGTCTGCTGCTATTTCTCCCTCGCCTAACACTTCGCCAAGCCTCGCCACAGCGACCAGACTGGCCGGGGGTCAAGGCCCGGCTCCGAGCTTTCCAGCGTGGCGAATGGGAACAGCTGTACCTGGACACGGTGGACGCGGTCAATACACCCCCACCGCCACGACACCAGCCCGACGCGACCGGAGTCATCAGCCGAGCTGAGGGGCTCGCGAAACGGGGGAGTCTGCACCGAGCCGTGCTGGCACTGGAGTCAATGCCGGTCTGCACCCCCAGCCCGGAAATATTGGAGGAGCTTCGCCAGAAACACCCACCTGCTGTACAAGAGGCGGTGACCTGGCCTGTGCCACCCGAGTCGAAACTGTCCATCACCCATGCTGAGTTCGCCAAAATTCTAGGAAGATGCGAGAACGGAGTGGGAGCCGGACCATCGGGAACAACATTTGAGCACATGCGCGACGCGGCCACCACTAACGCCATGATTAGCACCCATCTGCACGCCTTGGTCAACACTCTGCTGGGGGGAAATTTGCCAGGCCCGGTCGCAAACCTCCTGACGGCGTCGCGGCTGATTGCCCTGGCCAAGCCTGGGGGAGGGGCCCGGCCAATAGCGATAGGCGAGTGTTTGACAAGGTTGACAGCCAAGGCAGCCCTGACAGCCATGGGAGAAGCTGCCCGTGAATATTTCCTGCCGCTTCAGTACGGTGTGGCAGTGCCAGGTGGAGCAGAGACGGTAATCCACACAGCCAGGGCATTCCTGGATGCCCGCCCCAACAGCCTGGTCTTGCAAGCGGATATTACAAACGCTTTCAATAGCATCTCGCGACATGCCATCGCCACAGCGTTACACGACCCCAAACTCTCGCCACTACAGCCGTTTGTGAAATTGACCTACGGTAACCCGTCGCAACTGCTCCTGGACGCGAAATTCAACTGCGAACCACTGCACAGTGAACGGGGCGTGCGGCAAGGGGACCCACTCGGCCCGTTACTGTTTGCAGCAGGGATACACCCCACGCTACGTGACACTGCAGAAGCACACCCCAACGTCCTCTGCTTGGCGTATGCGGATGATGTCACCTTCCTGGGTGACACATCCCACACTGTAGCTGCCTTCATGTATTTCACAGCCAGACTAGCGCAGCTGGGCCTGACATATAATCCACAGAAATGCGCGGCTTGGAGCTCAACCACAGTCACACACCATCAACTTCTGCCTGGGGTGCCGTTTTCCAAGGACGGAGTCTGGCTTCTAGGTAGCTACGTTGGGACTGACGCTGGTGCAGCCGGGTTCCTTTCGGGCCAGTTAGGAGAGATGGCAAGGCCGTTACCGCTGATAGAACGAGCAGACCCCCAGGTGGCCGCACTGCTCCTCACGCGATGTATTTCCAGGCGTGTAGCTTACCTCATTAGGACGACTCCCCTCCACCTACTCCCACGCGCCACCTGGAGCCAGTGGGGCAGGGACTTGCTCATTACCTTACTCACCTCATGCGACATCCGCGCACCAACATGTGGCACCGAGCAAAAGCGGGTCTGGGAACAGGCGTCATTGCCGACGTCGCTGGGCGGCATAGGCATCACGGACCCGCTTACGGAAGGAATCTACGGTTTCACAGCGAGTTTCACCCAAGCGGCGCTTTTTCTTTCCTCCCTCGCGCTAGAACCAGAAGGTGCTTTGACGATGGCTAAGAACCACATGCTGGCGCCCCGAGAGAGCAGCACCCCCTTACACTCGTGGCTCACAGAGTGCGAAGCAGCCCTGCCCCTCGACGCACGGGAGATCCTGGAGAAGGAACGGCTAGAGCGATCGGATGTTAGGCTCCAGCACGTGCTCGGCTTGAAGGTGCACGGGAGCAGATACGCTGTGCAGGTCCAGGCAACTAGGCACATGCAGCCGAACCCGCTCTCGGGCCACACGCAGCGTATGTTCTCGCTGACTGGGTACGGTACCGGGGACTGGCTGACTGCGCTCCCAATTGAGGCCACTAGACGAATAGGCCCCGTGCACTTCGCGAACGCCGTGCGGTTTCGGCTGGGCCTCCCCTTTTCAACGCCAAAGAACTGTGACTGCGCGGATCAGACAGCCATCATAGATCCCCGCCTCCCGAACCATCTCCTCCGCTGCGGCACGGGCAAGCATCGCATTAATACCCACAACGAGCTGCGGGATGCGTGCATTAGCATGGCGCAGCATGCAGGTTTCATTGTTCACAGCGAGTCGACTGTTTACTGCCCTATCGAGGAACAAACCGCGGATTTCACCATGACAGATAGGAGCAGCGGGGCGGTTTACGTGTGTGACGTCACCATCACAGACCCAATTAGCACAAGGGACCGAGAGGCAGAGAAAGGCAGGGGCTGGGCGGCTCGGGAACAAGCGGATAAGAAAATCAAGCACTACGCCAACCGGTCGGAGACAGTGGGCTTTTTCCCACTGGCGGTGGACACCTATGGCTGCCCATGCGCAGAAGTCCCGGTCTTTCTAAAGCTACTCGCGGATACTGCGGCTCGGCGGCATTTCAACGCCGACTCTAAATCCTTCTACGCCGCCAAGTTTCTGCACCTATTTCGGCAGCGCTGGTCAGTGGCCCTTCAGAGGGCCCAATCTGTGGGTCTCCTTCTCAAGTTGGGCGAGGCGGCAGCAGCAGAGAACCCGCCTGTAGGAGGTATCGGTCAGGAACTTCACCCAGGGGACTGTTTTGCAGTGGTTGAGCCCTACCTAGAGCTCTAGAGGGAGAAGTGGGTAGGTAGGGTGGTGCTGCGGCTTTGTTCTAGTATTTCAAAAACCTGCATGCTTGTAATTTGCTCCTCTATCAATACAAGGACCATTAGAGAGAGAGAGAGAGAGAGAGAGAGAGAGAGAGAGAGAGAGAGAGAGAGAGAGAGAGAGAGAGAGAGAAGAAATCCACGCCATCTGCCCTCTTCCCCTAGTTCCATAGCTATATAAGGGCCCCACGGGGCTCCCCTTTCTTCATTAGTTCATTTTGTGCTTGACAATTTCGGCACTCGAGAGAGCGAGAGAGAGAGAGAGAGAGAGAGAGAGAGAGAGAGAGAGAGAGAGAGAGAGAGAGAGAGAGAGAGAGAGAGAGAGAGAGAGAGAGGCCTAGTCTTTAGCCTCTCCAGCCCTCTCCAGCCTAGTATAAAGGCCCTAGGACCTTGTCCTAGAGCCTCAATATTCAGTTCTGTGCTCATTTTCCTGGCATCACTGGAGTGTGCCCCTCGCAGCGCGCTGACGCGGGCCCGGGATCACATGCTGCTGCCTGCAGACGTCACCACTCCCCTTCACGAGTGGCTCACTGAGTGCGAAGCCGCGTTACCCCGGGATGCACGAGAAATCCTGGAGAAGGAGCGGCTGCAGCCGTCGGATGTGAGACTACAACATGCACTAGCTTTACAGGTGCACGGGAGCAGATACGCCGTGCAGGTTCAGGAGACACGGCATATGGAGCTGAACCCCCTGAGCGGACACACGCAGCGGATGCTTTCGCTGACCGGTTACGGGACCGGGGACTGGTTGACAGCCATCCCCATTGCGGCAAACAGGAGGATAGGGCCCGTTCACTTCTCCAATGCCGTGCGCTTCCGGCTGGCCCTTCCTTTCTCCACGCCTAAAAACTGCGACTGCTCTGACCGTACCGCTATCCCAGACCCCCGCCTCCCTAACCACCTTCTCCGTTGCGGCACGGGCAAGCACCGTATCAACACCCACAACGAGCTGTGGGATGCTTGCATTAGCATGGCCCAAGACGCAGGGTTCATTGTCCATAGCGAGACCTCGGCCTACTGCCCCATTGAGGAACAGACCGCGGACTTTACGATGACAGACAGAAGCAGCGGCGCTGTCTACGTGTGCGACGTCACCATCACAGATCCCATTAGCACTAGGGACCCGGAGGCACAGAAGGGCAGGGGCTGGGCGGCGCGGGAGCAGGCTGACAAGAAGGTCAAGCACTATGCTGCCCGGCCAGAGACGGTGAATTTCTTTCCTCTAGCGGTGGATACCTACAGCTGCCCCTGTGCTGAGGTGCCAGTCTTCCTGAAGCTATTGGCGGACACTGCAGCTCGGCGCCACTTCAACGCCGACTCCAAGTCATTCTACGCTGCTAAGTTCCTGCATCAGTTCACGCAACGCTGGTCTGTGGCCCTACTAAGGGCCCAGTCCGTGGGTCTCCTGCTCAAATTAGGGGAGGCAGCGGCAGTGGAGAACCCGCCTGTGGTGGGGATCGGGGATGAGTTACACCTAGGGGACTGCTTTGCAGTCATTGAGCCCTTTGTGGAATTGTAGGGAGGTTTTTGTGACTCCTTGTGCCTTGCTAAGCTGTTACCTACGACTTGCATGCTTGTACTCTGCTGCTATATCAATACAAGGACCATTAGAGAGAGAGAGAGAGAGAGAGAGAGAAAAAGAGAGAGAGAGAGAGAGAGAGAGAGAGAGAGAGAGAGAGAGAGGCCTAGTCTTTAGCCTCTCCAGCCCTCTCCAGCCTAGTATAAAGGCCCTAGGACCTTGTCCTAGAGCCTCATTATTCAGTTCTGTGTTCATTTGCTCTCCTAACCGAGCGGCTGAGAGAGCGAGAGAGAGAGAGAGAGAGAGAGAGAGAGAGAGAGAGATAGAGAGAGAGAGAGAGAGAGAGAGAGAGAGAGAGAGAGAGAGAGAGAGAGAGATAGAGGCCTAGTCTTTAGCCTCTCCAGCCCTCTCCAGCCTAGTATAAAGGCCCTAGGACCTTGTCCTAGAGCCTCATTATTCAGTTCTGTGTTCATTTGCTCTCCTAACCGAGCGGCTCGCGCCGGCCGCCGAAGGCGGCCGACGCTCGACAGCGCGGCCTTTGGCCGCGCATGAGGGAACGGCAAGCACATCGCAAGTAGATGCAATAATAACGCACAGGCGTACAGTCATGGCAGGGGGTCCCATCTACTAGCAACAACATGGGACAAGCACGAGGGGATCCTACATCTGATCCGCGTCAAGGACAGCGAGAAGAACCGTCAGAGAACGATGAAGCTCGCGCACCACCACTGTCGTTGCGCCGATCAAGTCGACGGCAGAGCCCGCGCGCAAAAACCGGCGCAAACCACGGACCGCCGTTCCCAGCTGTCCAACGCCCGCAACTCCACCCCGCGCGGGCGCAGCCAACACGGGCGCCAGGAGCTCGGCCAGCCGATCCGCGGCATCCAGGCACTCGTCCCCGGGGCCTGGGTCCAGATGAACACCCTGGGAGAGAGCCGCGTGACCATACACCTGAATTAGGTGCACTGCCCGCGGACCCTCAGAGAGGCGCCAGAGCTGCCCCAGCGACGCCTCCGGCACCACGGCTGACAAAGAGGGCCCCACCAGTGACTGTATTGGCACCGATGTAGCCGGAGGAGCAGGAGCAACAGATAGTAGGGAGGGATACTGCCCCGTCACTGGTCCTCCAGCCGCGGTCACAAACTCCATACCCGCCACAGGAGGAACCCACGGCAGGCGCATCTGGTTCCCATGAGCAACGGCAGATGCAGAGGGAGCTGGGGGAGGGGGAACGGCTGACTGTGGAAGAGGAGGTGCAGGCTCATAGGGCGCAGACGGAGGAAGGGACGCATGTGCTGGAGCGATGCGCGGCGAGTTGCTCTGGCTCGCCTGCCCATTTCGCTCCAGTCGCATCGCATCAGAAACAACGCCCTGTAGATCAGCCATTGTTACTGGCTGATCATACGCCCAGCCGCCACCACGACCACGCCCCCCCCACCAGCCACCGCGACCGCCACGGGATGCAGCCCAGTTCGCCTGGGACCCACGGCGCCGAGGAGAATCGTGTCGCCGACGCGTTGTCACCCGCTCGTCACGGGGCGCAGGAGAGTGAGGCCGATGCTGCCAACGGCCCAGAGACGGCTGACGCTGAGCCAGGGGAGTAGCAGCGTGCGGCGCGGGATCAGGAACCGCCAGGACGTCTGGGGACGGCACCGATGTCGCTGCAGTCGGTGCGACTGCTCGGACCACACAGCGATCACCGACCCTCGGCTGCCAAACCATCTTTTCCGCTGCGGCACGGGCAAGCACAGGATTAACACCCGTAACGAGCTCCGGGACGCCTGCATCACTATGGCACAAGATGCGGGTTTCATTGTCCATGGGGAATCTGCCGCCTACTGCCCAATCGAGGACCAGACTGCAGATATCACTATGCGAGACAGGAGCTCAGGGGCGGTGTACATCTGTGATGTCACCATCACCGACCCCATCAGCACCAGGGACCCGAATGCAACCAAGGGAAGAGGATGGGCGGCAAGAGAGATGGCGGACAAGAAAAAGAGACACTATGCCAACCGGCCGGACACGGTTGGCTTCTTCCCGCTGGCGGTAGATACCTATGGGTGCCCATGTGCAGAGGTCCCAGAATTCTTGAAGCTACTGGCGGACACAGCTGTTAGGCGTCACTTCAACACCCAACCTCACTCCTTTCATGCAGCTAGGTTCCTCCATCTCTTCAGGCAGCGGTGGTCCGTGGCTCTGCAAAGAGCACAATCGGTGGGTTATCTTATTAAGTCAAGTCAGGCGGCGGTAGCTGAAAATCCCCCCGTGGGGGGGGTGCAGTCCGAGCTTCATCTTGGAGACTGTTGTGCTGTGATAGAGCCCCTTATGGAGGTGTAGAAAGGCAGTTGTGTGTGGTTAGTTTTTGGTTTGCTTGTTGTTTTCAGTTCTAGCTCCCATACTTTGCATATTTGTACCCTTTCCTATATCAATACACAGACCATTAAAGAGAGAGAGAGCGAGAGAGAGAGAGAGAGAGAGAGAGAGAGAGAGAGAGAGAGAGAGAGAGAGAGAGAGAGAGAGAGAGAGAGATTGATCCTAGGGAAGGGTTACAGGCTCGTTGTCCTGGGGGGTTATGGGCGCACTGACCCGCTACTTAAAAAGCCTTTTATCCCAATGGTCTAATTGTTGGAATTACTGAACAGGAATGAATGAACTAGCAATGAAAAGAGTACAAGTACCTAACCCTAGAATTGTGTACCCCCTATAGGCTAACCCACTGTAGCCTAAACTAACACAACATATATAATGTTTGACACACCCCCATAGGCAAAGTGGGGGAGAACTAGGGGTCACAAGACCAGTCAAGGCAAAGCAAGGCAAAACAAGCTCAGGGTGGATCTCAAGGATACCACACAAATTCCGAGCACAAGCAAGTGGTCACAAGACCAGTTCACATGCAGGTTTATATATATAGAGATCACAGTACAACAGACTCAAGAAGTAAGCAAGTGAGGTCCAGTAGGCACAAGGCCTAGAAGAGTGCAAAAGCGCTGATGGTCACAAGGCTGAAGCGCCTTGGTGAACACATCAGCAGTGTTGGCCTCAGAGGCCACGTAACGCAGGCGAAGCTGACCACGCTGCTGCAGCTCTCGAGCGAGGAAGTAACGCAGAGCAATGTGCTTCGTTCTGTGCTCCAGTCTGTGCTCCTCACACAAGGCAATGGCTGCCTTGTTGTCGACGTACAGCACTGGAGGAGAACGAGGCTGCTCTCCAAGGTCGGTCAGCAAGTAGGTGAGCCAGCGTAGCTCCTGGGCCGCCATGGCTGTGGCGTAGATCTCAGCCTCACAACTGGAGCTGAGAACAGAAGAAGAGCGAGTAGAACGCCAAGAAACAGAACCAGAGCCAAGACTGAAGGAGTAACCCTGAGACGACCGCTGAGTAGCCTGGTCGTCTGCCCAAGAAGCGTCTGAGTGCCCAGTGAGAACAACTGGGACTCGCCCTCCAAGCACTAGCCCCATGCCCGACGTACTGCACAAGTAGCGCAACACCCTCTTAGCTGCATCCATGTGCTCCTTCCGGTGACGGCCGGGAGCGACATAGCGTGCAAGAATGCTGAGAGGGTATGCAAGGTCTGGTCGAGTGCAGGTCATCAGGTACATGAGGCAACCCACAAGCTCTGGATACGGGCCACTCGGCTCTACGGACTCATCCGAAGGCAGAGCTGAGAGCGAGTGACCGGTAGGCAGAGGAGTGGGCTGAGGCGAGGAGTACGTGAAGCGGAAGCGCTGAAGGACCTGCTGCACCATGTGTGACTGAGTCAAGGTGATGGTGCGGCGTGCTCTGTCCCGGGTGATCCGCAAGCCAAGATAGCTTGTCAGTTCACCCAGGTCTGTGCACGTGTGTCTCTTCTGCAGCTCCGACTTCACGTGGGCGAGTGCCACAGTGTCAGCAGTAGCAAAGACCAAGTCGTCGACGTACACAAGGACGTAGAACGGCGGCAGTGAGGTGACGGTGCGTAGAAACAGCGACGGGTCAGCAGTAGAAGGCGCGAACCCAAGAGCCGCAAGCGTAGTCCTCAGTGTGTCGTGCCACTCACGAGGCGCCTGGCGGAGACCGTAGACTGGCCGTCGGAGGCTCCACTGGGTACCAGGAGGGAACGACCCAGTGAAGCCAGGTGGACGGCGCAGCCAGATCTCCTCGTGCAGGCTGCCCTGCAGGAAAGCAGTGCTGAAGTCAAGCGAGTGGAGCTCGTAGTCACGCTGAGCGGCGACGTGCAGCAGAACCCGAAGAGTGGTCATCTTCGGGGTCGGGGAGAAGGTCTGGAAGAAGTCAACTCCCTCGCGCTGACTGAAGCCTCGTGCAACGTAACGCGCCTTGAAGACAGGCGGAGAACCCGGCGGCCGCTTCACCCTGAAAATCCACATGCCACTGACGATGTTCGCCCCAGGCGGGGGAACCTCGTCGACGTAGGTGCCTGTGGACTTCCAGGAAGCCATCTCTGTGTCCATGGCTGACTGCCACTGAGAGGAGTAGGGACCGGCCATCGCCTCTGCGTAGGAGCGTGGGGTCGGGATGTCTGGTGCATCCGGGTCTCCCTCAGGGGCAACAAGCATGGACACGAGATGGGGCAAAGCGGCAGCAAAGCACTGGAACTCCTCCTGCCTGTCCTCAAGGACGTCAGTGCCAAGAGCACACTCACCCCCGACGGACGGAGGACAGACAGACTCAGACTCAGCAACTAGGCTAGCAGCGTAGTCTAGACGACAGCGAGCAGCAAAGTCGACAAGCTCAGCAACTAAGGCAGACGCAGCAGCAGACTCAAAGGAAGGGTCAGTGACAACAGTGGCCAGGAGACGCGTGACAGCAGGACTGGTAGTACGAAGAGAGTCTGACCCAGGGTCAGGAAGAGCAGGAAGAGAGGAAGCAGGAGGAGACGGCAGTGGGACACGCTGTGGAGCAGTGGACGGACGAAGCGCCATCCGGTGAGTGCCTGGGACAGCAGGAAGACGCTGACGCTGGACTCGACGACTAGAGAGAGCAGTGCGGACAGGCGACCCAGGACGAGACTCAGGCGACGCAGGACGAGACGCAGGCTCACGCCGCTCAGTAAGACCTCCAGTCGGACCAGTGTAAGGAGCAGGACCAAGGAGAGAGGAGGCAGACGGTAACGCCGACTGCAGCTGGACAGGCTGAGGACACTCTAAGGAGGGAGGAGGAAAAGGAGGAGGAAGCTGACCAAGAACCTGCTGAAGGAGCGGAACAAAGTACGGCTGAGACCGAGCAGCGACACCAGAGCCAGCAGGGACACCCGCACCAGGGTCCGCAGCACCAGCAGCAGCTCCAGCGCCCACGTCCTCAGCACCAGCGGTAGCTCCAATGCCCGGGTCCTCAGCACCAGCAGTAGCTCCAACGCCTGGGTCCTCAGCACCAGCAGCAGCTCCAACGCCCGGGTCCTCAGCACCAGCAGCGGCTCCAACGCCCGGGTCCTCAGCACCAGCAGCAGCTCCAACGCCCGGGTCCTCAGCACCAGCAGCGGCTCCAACGCCCGGGTCCTCAGCACCAGCAGCAGCTCCAACGCCCGGGTCCTCAGCACCAGCAGCAGCTCCAACGCCCGGGTCCTCAGCACCAGCAGCAGCTCCAACAGCAGCGGGGTTCGTAACACGAGGCACGCCACTCCGAAGAGTGCAGCGCCGCGCGTACCACTCACGGATCCGCTCGTGGGAGGGGAGCTCCCGAACGGGAGAAGAAGTACTAGCACCAGTCCCAGTAGTACGTCCGGCTCGAGCGGTACCTCTCCGGAGGCTGCAGTACTCTAAGTACCACGCACGTAGCTGCTCCGAGGAGAGGGCTCCTCCAGGTGCAGGACTCCCAGACCTCGTACCTCCAGACGCAGAACCCCCAGACTCCGGACTCCGCAGCTCAGTACCACGAGGCTCCACACCCCCAAGCTCAGCACCCTCAAGCTCCACACCCCCAGGCTCCACACCCCCAGGCTCCACACCCCCAGGCTCCACACCCCCAGGCTCAGCACCCCCAGGCTCAGCACCCCCAGCAGGACGAGAGTCGACAGCTACCTCAACAGGCTCAACCGGGTCTACCTGAGACACACCTGAGGGAGCGGCACCCTGAGGGGGGAGGGGGTCTGCAACAGCAGCACCTGGCGAGAGGAAGAGAGGCGGGGGGGGGAGCGGGGCAGTGCGGTAGGGGAAGAGGCGGTAGTAGGGGACGGACTCGTCAAAAGTGACGTCCTGGGAGGGCAAGACTCGGCGCGAGGTGGCGTGGTAAAACTGCCAACCAGACGCGTCCGGGACAAAGCCGAGGAAGACGCAGGGAACAGCACGGGAGGAGAGCTTGTCCGCAGACGAATCGCGGACAAAAGCTCGAGACCCCCAGACCCGGAAACGCGACGCATCGCCAACCTCCCCCGTCCACAGTAGCGTGGG